CATACAATATGAAGGGGGCTAATTTAGCTACAACAAGTCAGGAAAAAGATCTTGGAGTCATCGTGGATAGGTCTCTGAAGATGTCCACGCAGTGTGCAGAGGCGGTCAAAAAAGCAAACAGGATGTTAGGAATAATTAAAAAGGGGATAGAGAATAAGATGGAGAATATATTATTGCCCTTATATAAATTGATGGTACACCCGCATCTTCAATACTGCATACAGATGTGGTCTCCTCATCTCAAAAAAGATATACTGGCACTAGAAAAGGTTCAGAGAAGTGCAGCTAAAATGATTAGGGGGTTGGAAAGGGTCCCATATGAGGAGAGATTAAAGAGGCTAGGACTTTTCAGCTTGGAAAAGAGGAGACTAAGGGGGGATATGATAGAGGTATATAAAATTATGGGTGATGTGGAGAAAGTAGATAAGGAAAAGTTATTTACTTATTCCCATAATACAAGAACTAGGGATCACCAAATGAAATTAATAAGCAGCAGGTTTAAAACAAATAAAAGGAAGTTCTTCTTCACATAGCATACAGTCAACTTGTGGAACTCCTTACCTGAGGAGGTTGTGAAGGCTAGGACTATAACAGCGTTTAAAAGAGAACTGGATAAATTCATGGAGGTTAAGTCCATTAATGGCTATTAGCCACAATGGATAAGGAATGGTGTCCCTAGACTCTGTTTGTCAGAGGGTGGAGATGGATGGCAGGAGAGAGATTACTTGATCATTACCTGTTAGGTTCACTCCCTCTGGGGCACCTGGCATTGGCCACTGTCGGTAGACAGGATACTGGGCTAGATGGACCTTTGGTCTGACCCAGTACAGCCGTTCTTATGTTCTTATGTAATCTTCCTACGAAAGCCTTTCAGATTCTCTCCTGGTCATTTGGTACCGATCGGTTAGTGAAAAATACTAAAAAGCTTTGGACATAAGTAGCTTGAGCAATTTTGTTTTGGCTGCAAACTTTGCCATCTCCCTCTTCACCCTCTTGTCCAGATTATTTATGAATACAGCAGAACCTCAGAGTTATGAATGCCTCAGGAATGGAGGTTGTTCATAACTCTGAAATGTTCGGAACTGTGCACAAAACATTATGGTTGTTCTTTCAAAAGTTTACAACTGAACATTGACTAACACAGCTTTGAAATTTTACTATGGAGAAGAAAAATGCTGCTTTTAACCATCTTAATTTAAATGAAACAATCACAGAAACTGTTTCCTTACCTTGTCAAATCTTTTTTTTTAAAACTTGCCCTTTATTTTTTTAGTAGTTTACGTTTAACACAGTCTTGTACTATATTTGCCTTTTGAGGGGGGAAAAGGGAGGGGTCTCTGAAGCTGCCTCATTCCGTATTCCAGTTCTAAATGAGGTATGTGGTTGACTGGATAGTTTGTAACTCTGGTGTTCGTAACTCTGAGGTTCTACTACACGTTGAATGGAACTGGTCCCAGTACAGATCCATGGGGGACCCTGCTATTTACCGCTCTCCATTGTGAAAACTGACCATTTATTCTTATCCTTTGTTTCCTATCTTTTAACCAGTTAGTGATCCATGAGAGAACCTTCCTCTTACTCCATGACTGCTTATTTTGCTTAAGAGCCTTTGGTGTGGGACTTTGTCAAAGGCTTTCTAAAAGTCACATACACTGTATCCACTGGGATTGCCCTTGTCCACGTTTGTGGACCCACTCAAATAATTTTAATAGATTGGTGAGGTGAAAGTCGTGTTCACTTTTCAATAATATATGGTGTATCTGATAACTCTGTTCTTTGCTATAGTTTCAACCAATTTACCTGGTATTGAAGTTAGGGTTACTGGCCTGTAATTGCCAGGGTTGCCTCTGGATCCTTTTTAAAAAACATTATATCTCCTCGAGTCATCTGGTAGAGAGGCTGATTTAAGTGATAGGTTACATACCACAGTTAGTAGTTCTGCAATTTCATATTTGAGTTCCTTCAGAACTCTTGGATGAAGCCCATCTGGTCCTGGTGACTTATTACTTTTTAATTTATGAAGTTGTTCCCAGACCACCTTTACCGACATCTGGGACAGCACCTCAGATACTTCACCTAAAAAGAATGGCTGTGGGAATCTCCCTCACATCTTCTGCAGTGAAGACTGATGCAAAGAATTCATTTAGCTTCTCTGCAGGAGCTCTGCGTTCCTTGAGTAACCCTTTAGCATCTCGATTGTCCAGTGGCCCCCTGGATTGTTTGGTTGGCTTCTTGCTACTAATGTACTTAATTTTTTTGCTAGCTTTTCTGTCTTCTGATAGTTGTTCTTGAAGTTCTTTTTTGGGTTGCCTAATTATACTTTTATACTTGACTTGCCAGAGTTTATGCTCCTTTCGATTTTCCTCACTAAGATTTGAGTTCCAGTTTTCAAATGATGTATTTTTGCCTCTAACTGCCTCTTTTACTCGGTGGTTTAGCTATGGTAGCATTTTTATTTTATTTTTTTGGTCCTCTGTTTTTTTCCTTCAGGGTATAAATTTAGTCTGAGCTTCTATTATGGTGTTTTTAAATAGTTTCCATGTAGCTTGCATGCATTTCTCTCTTGTGCCTATTCTTTTTAAATTTTCATTTAACTAGCTTCTTCATTTTGTGTGGTTCCCCTTTTTGAAGATAAATGCTACTGTGGTGGGTTTCTTTAGTGTTTTCCCCACAACTATGTTAAATTTAATTACATTATGGTCTCTATTACCTGGTCGTTCAGCTCTATTCACCTCTGGACCAGATCTTGTGCTCCACTTAGGACTAAATAAAGAATTACCTCTCCCCTTGGGAGTTCCGCGACTAGCTGCTCTACGAAGCAGTCATTAATGGTGTCTAGAAATGTTATCTCTGCAACATATCCTGAGGGGATATGTACCGAGCCAACAGAGGGATAGTTGAAATCCCTCATTCTTGGGTTTTCTGTCTTTGTAGCCTCTCTAAACTTTGAGCATTCTACAATCACTGTCATCATACTGGGCAGGCGGTCGGTAGTATATTCCTACTGTTCTATTCTGAGTATTCGAGCATGGAATTTCTATCCATAGAGGTTCTATGGTACAGTTTGATTTATTTAAGATTTTTCCTATATTTGACTGTATGCTTTCTTTCCCATATAGTGCTACTCCCCCACTAGCACGACCTACTCTGTCATTCCTATATATTTTGTACCCCAGAATTACCGTGTCCTATTGATTATCATCATTCCACCAGGTTTCTGTGATGCCTATTATATCATCATCATCATCAAATACCAGACATTCAAGCTCATCTATCTTAGTATTTAGATTGCAGAGAGAGCTAAAATGTACAGAACACAGTAAACTCCTTGCAGATTAAACCATTTTGTGATTAAGTTGAATCAAGTCCCTTGATTAAAAGGCATGTGTGCTCTCTTCCTAATAGTTAGATTTGGTATAGTCAAGGCTGTTTTCGAGAATAAGGGCTCTAAACTCTGTTCTCTGGGCCATGAATAGGATGAAGAGATGCAGCTGCTTTAAGTTCAGTGGAGCTATGCTGATACTCAACTGGTGCTATCTGGTCCTCATTTCTCAAGAGTGCATAACTTGGCAGGAAAAAAAAAGGATATTATTGGTTCCAATCTAAAATAGGTATCTATCCAAGAATGATTTGTGTTTTAGTTTTAATCAGCACCTACTGCTATAGATCATATGGCCTTCATGCTACCTTGACCATTTCAGGGGCTTCATGGGAACAATTTTTCAGGGTTCACTGAACATTTCATCATAGTAAGAAAAATGCACTGGAATGCGTTACCTAGGGAGGTGGTGGAGTCTCCTTCCTTGGAGGTTTTTACGGCCCGGCTTGACAAAGCCCTGGCTGGGATGATTTAGTTGGGAATTGGTCCTGCTTTGAGCAGGGGGTTGGACTAGATGACCTCTTGAGGTCCCTTCCAACCCTGATATTCTATGATTCTATGATTCTATGAAAAATTATATTCCATTTTCCGGTGGAGACAGCTCTAATTAGCTAAACTATCCTACACATGGAGCAGTTTCACAGTTCAGGTAACACTATCAGTTACCTGCATATCCAAGTCATCTGCCATCCACTGACATGGGGGGGTGTGGAGTTGCAGCTAGGTAGAGGGCATTTCTGAGTCAGTATATGAAAACTCACTGACAAAAAATAAATATTCCAGCAGACCCGCAATAGAATAGTCAATTAGCAACAAAGTCCACACCCTCAGGGCTGTCTGAACCTATCCAGTTCCACTGGTAACCTTGAGCAGGCCTTCAATATAGGTCCCTGGCCCTGATGAAAGAAATCACAGAATACACCTGTGATCTAATAATAGCCACTAGAAGCCCAGTCACCATGCAATCTTTAGAAGAGGCTACCACCATTTAGTAGCCACATATTTGCCATGCCTCTACCACCAGGCAAAGTCCAGGGGAAAAGTTAAATAAGTTTACTGGAAGTTGCCCATTCTTCTGAAGCATTGATTTTAAAACCACAGTGGGCTTATAATACATGGAGGTTAATAGAACCAAAGCTTCTAATTATTAGATACAGGATGTAACGAATACTCAGTGTTCCAATTCTAAAAGTGAATTAGTAGAGTTCCATTAAACTCCATTATAGGAACTACATTTATGACCCCAAAGTGAGCATTATTTAACATGAAGCAGGAAGGAAAAGACACGGAGCACAACTGTCATTCATGTTGGAAGATCAGAGCTAACCCAGGAGAGTTAAAGCAGTCACTGTGCCTAAGCTTAAGCAGCTGGTTAAATCCATTTGATCTAGTTTTATAAACACATTGTTTTTATAATTCAGGCAGTCAGACTTTACAGATAAGAGGAAATAACATGCTTCCAGCTTCCTTGACTGCGAAGAAAGACTAATGATACCCCCCACCACCAGATTACATGAAGTATAACTGCATTAGCAGGAAGCAACTTATTTCAGAGTCTAGGTCCTTTCCTTAAATGGGCATTATACAAGCAGCTAAAAACTAATGGAAGCTCCAAACTTACCCTCTCTGGAAGAGATCCACATTGTGGAATTTGTGTAGTTCCACAGAAAACTCGACCGTTCCCTGTACCTCAGACATGATCTTTTCAGGTCATCACCTAAATGAAACACAAACAGGTATTTTAAACATGCTGAACAGTTTGCTTAATAACAAATTCACTTAAGTTCCTACATCTTGCTTCAGCACTTTGGGCTTCATCCATGACCCAGTGAACTCAATGGGAGTCTTTATACTGAAATCAATGGACTCTGTTCAGGCTTTTCATTGATAACAGCCCTATCCACGTCATGCTTGTGAGTCATAAAAGACAAAGACAGCCTGAGGATGCAGCAATAATGCTACATTAGGCTATATCATAATCATTGAAATGTACATAGTGTCCTTCAGCCTAGAACCTCCGAGTGCTTTCCAAGCTCTCTCAATATTCCTGCGGGGAAAGAGAGATGTTGTTAGACCCATTTTAGAGAATGGAAAATTCAGTCTCCAGCCAAACACCACAGTGGTACAGAGTTCTCTTGCTCCCATCCCCTGTGCCCTCTCCCACCAAGGCACTTATCAAAGACAAGGAAGGGAGATTTCACATGGAACAGAACTAACTCCAGAAATAACGAATGGCAGGGATTGCCACGTAAGCTCTTTTGGGCAGGAAAATTAGTCTGTATCACAGATGTCACGGACAAGATTGTGACAGGACCCTCAGAGTGCAACCTGGGATTGTGCCCTCTTAACTCTCTCCAGGCTGGGCTGTCTCTCACAATGCCTTGCTAGTGACCAGCAGCAAACCCCTCCAGGTGCTGTGATCACTCAACACAACAGCACAAGGAGCCCCACACTCACCTAGTTTG